AGCTCTTTCAGATGATATATAAAAACCGATATATTTTTTTAAATTAAAGTACAGTCAAGATTCCTATAGTACGGTTAATAGGGACCGCGCTATAGGAACCGGCATTAACGAATACACGTAGCATATGGGATTAGAGCTAATTGGGGACAAACTCTTATTGTAGGGTAATTTGAAGAGATAACTTCCTGGTGTCTTCTGAAAAGTTATTAAACAGAATATTTGCCACCTTTTGGGAACATTTAGCATCCGGAACGTCAAGAGCCTGATCCTCCGGAAGACCCGGAACATCCGTAAAAGTGGTCAATTCATGAAATACAGCTTGGCGGTTTTTTCGAAACCGCTCATAGACGTCTTATCAGAATGAATTCGGAGTTGTGACCTGAATATGAACCCAGAGGACCACGGGATGGTCCACCGGAAGATCCGGAACATCCATAAAAGTGGTCAATTCATGAATCTGATCCTAGAGCTCCGCGGTTTTTTCGAAACCACTCCTAGACAACTTATCAGAATGAATTCGAAATTGTGACTGGAATATGGATACTGGAGACCACGGGATGGTCCACCGGAAGATCCGGAACATCCGTAAAAGTGGTCAATTCGTAAATCTGATCCTAGAGCTCCGCGGTTTTTTCGAAACCACTCCTATACATCTTATCAGAATGAATTCGAAGTTGTGACTGGAATATGGACACTGGAGACCACGGGATGGTCCACCGGAAGATCCGGAACATCCGTAAAAGTGGTCAATTCATGAATCTGGTCCTAGAGCTCAGCATGTTTTTCGAAATCACTCCTAGACGTCTTATCAGAATGAATTCGAAATTGTGAGTGGAATATGGACCCAGGGGACCACGGGATAGTCCACCGGAAGATCTGGAACATCCGTAAAAGTGGTCAATTCATGAATCTGATCCTAGAGCTCAGCGGATTTTTCGAAACCACTCCTAGACATCTTATCAGAATGAATTCGAAATTGTGACTGGAATATGGACACTGGATACCAGGGGATGGTCCACCGGAAGATCCAGAACATCCGTTAAAGTGGTTAATTCATGAATCTGATCCTAGAGCTCAGCAGATTTTTCAAAACCTCTCATTGACGACTATTTAGAATGAATTTGGAGTTGTGACTGTAATATGAACCCTTGGGACCACGTTATGGTCCTCCGGCAGATTCTAAACATCCTTAAAAGTGGTAAATCCATGAAACTGATCCTAGAGCTCCGCGGTTTTTTCGAAATCTCTTAAAGACGTCCTATTAGAATATTATGAGTTGTGACCGGAATATTAACCGTAGAAAACACGGATTGGTTCACCGTAAGATCCGGAACATCCGTAAAAGTGTTCAATTCATGAAACTGATCCAATTTGGTGCTCTGAGACCGATACATGCAAGTGGCCCCTTTGACGAGTTGCATATGTTTCAGTTTCAGGACACTCAATTTTACATGACATGTTTGTTTACGTTGCATGCTTTACGTTAGAGATGAATTACGTCACGTGTAAAAATAGTAATTTCTAAGTGTGTGGGTACGTCTTCATACAAAATTCAAAATAGAGTATATCGTTTTTAGCGTGTATAAAGTTAGAAAAATAGATTCAAAAATTGAGTATCTCGTTTTAGTGTGCACACCCAATTCTGATTTTTGTGTGGTACCCATCTATCAAAAAAGTTCACATACTCAATGTATGGCAAAATGAATACCTGTTACCCACATTCATCAGCGTTCCTCGTGAAACGTATTTTTAAGTTACTCGAATGTCTTTGTATGTGGGTAACAGTTGCTCATTTGTGCGTTAATAATTATTACCCATCCATTGAGTATGTGCACTTTTTGGAGGGATGAGGTATTCCTCATACAAAACACAGATTTTTTGTTGCCTCAGTTTTTGCATGTGCACGCTTAACATGAGGTACCTAATTTTAGTCAAAGCTTGCATCGAAAATAACCTATAAACAACTTCCATTATTTTTATGTTCACTTTTTGAAGAGATGGGTTCTTTCCCATAGAACAAGAAAAGTTTTTGGGTATCTTGGTTTTTGCATGTATTGCCCAAAAACATGGGTACCGTAAAACGGGGCAATTTTAGTTTGGGCATTTTTTTATAGTATTTTTTAAGCATATTTTACAACCATGGATTTTTTTGCATATGTAATTTTTTTTATAAACAAGTTCTGTGTATCCTAGAGTCAATTCATTAGTAATATGTGTAACAGAAATTATTGCTTTTGCAACATATTTTTTTTGTCTTGTGACCGAACATCAATTTTGTTTTGATAATACTCGATTAATGTAGAGAAAACAAGCAGAAAACTCAAACAATTTAGTTGAATAAATATGAAACTTTAAATTAATACATAATCAGAAACATCACAAACAATAAGAAGACAACATTGAATTTGTGATGGCCACATCAGAGTTACATTTAATAAGTGAGTGTTTGAGTGTCTTTTAAAACAAATGAAAAACATAAAAAAAAAATTCACATATTTGTAAAACATGTTACACAAACTATACAAAAACTCCATAGCATATCAAAGGTTATACCGTAAGCTACAAAATAGAACTAATGTTTCCAATTGGTAAATAGTGCAGAAGGTAAATTTAATCATTATATTCTTCTTTCAAAGTTACCTACATTTTACGGTACCTTCTTTTAGTGTCCACGTTACCAATTTTGTCGATTTTTTAAACCAATTGTACACGCTAGAAACGAGATTCTAAATTATTGCACATATTTTTTAATTTTTGAATAACAAAATACAAGATCGCACTATACACATGGCCACAATGTTTACAATCACAAGGGATCGGATGTAAAGTTTATCAATCATCTACTTAGAAAGGTGAAGGGAACGCATACTACTCATAACCATCTAAATATTGAAGAGACCATTGGATTGTGCACTTTTTGGAGAATTTGATATTTTTTTAGCAATTGAAATAGTAAACATATTTAACAGATTGTACTATGGTATACTTTACGTTCATTTACTGGTTACAACTCTGAATTAAGGGTTTCGAAAAAAAAAATCGCAGAGCTCTTGGACATTTTCAAGCATTGACCACTTTTACGGATGTTCAGGATCTTCCAAAGGACCATCCCGTAGTCTCCAGAGTCCATATTCCAAACACAACTCCGATTTCATTCTGATACGATGTTTATGACTGGTTTCAAATACACCACGGAGTTCTAGGATCGGTTTCATGAATCGATCACTTTTCGGATGTTCCGGATCTTTTAGTAAACCATCCCGTGACCCCCAGCATCCATTTTCTGGTCACAACTCCTAATTCATATTGATAAGACGTCTATGAGTGGTTTCGAAAAAACCGTGGAGCTCTAGGATCAATTTCAATTATGGCCAGTCTATGAGTGGGTTCGAATTAAGCGCGGAGCTCTAGAATCTGTTTCATGAATTGACCACTTTTACGGATGTTCCGGATCTTTCGGAAGACCATAGCAAAGTCTACAGAGTCCATATTCCATTCAAAACTCTGAATTCATTCTGATAAGACGCCTATAAGTGGTTTCGACAAAACCACGAAGTTCTAGGATCGGTTTCATGAATTGACAACTTTAACAGATGTTCCGGATCTTCCAGTGAACCATCCCGTGGTCCCCAGTATCCATATTCAGGTCACAACTCCGAATTCATTCTGATGAGATGTCTATAAGTTGTTTCGAAAAAACCGCGGAGTTCTGGGATCAATTTCATGAATTGATCACTTTTACGGATGTTCCGGATCTTCCGGTTAACCATCCCATGGTCCACAGAGGCCATATTCAGGTCACAACGCCGAATTCATTCTGATAAGATGTCTATAAGTTGTTTCGCAAAAACCGAGAAGTTCTAGGATTAGTTTCATGAATTGACCACTTTTACAGACGTTCCGGATCTTTTAGTGAACCATCCCGTAGTCCCTAGCGTCCATTTTCTGGTCACAAATCTTAATTCATTGTAATAAGACGTCTATGAGTGCTTTCAAAAAACCGCGGAGCTCTAGAATCTGTTTCATGAATTGACCACTTTTACGGATGTTCCGAATCTTTCGGAGGACCATCATGTAGTCCTCAGAGTCTGTATTCTGGTTACAACTCCAAATTCATTCTGATAAGACGTCTACGAGAGGTTTCGAAAAAATCACGGAGCTCTAGGATCAGTGCATGAATTGATCACTTTTACGGATGTTCCGGATCTTCCGGTGAGCCATCCCGTATTCCTCGGAGTGTATATTCCAGTAACAATTCCAAATTCATTCTGATAAGACGTCTACGAGCGGTTTTGAAAAAAACCGTGGAGTTCTAGGATTAATTTAATAAATTGACCACTTTTACGGATGTTCCGGATGTTCCGGAGGACCATCCCGTAGTCCACGGAGTGTATATTCCAGTAACACCTCCAAATTCATTCTGATAAGACGTCTACGAGCGGTTTTGAAAAAAACCGTGGAGTTCTAGGATCAATTTAATGAATTGACCACTTTTTCGTATGTTTCGGATCCTCCGGAGGGCCATCCCGTAGTCCTCGGAGTGTATATTCCAGTAACAACTCCAAATTCATTCTGATAAGACGTCTACGACAGGTTTCGAAAAAACCACGGAGCTCTAGGATCGGTTTCATGAATTGACCACTTTTACGGATGCTCCGGATCTTTCGGAGGACCATCCCGTAGTCCGTAGGGTCTATATTCTGGTCACAACTTCAAATTCATTCTGATAAGACGTCTAAGAGAGGTTTCGAAAAAACCACGGAGCTCTAGGATAAATTGCATGAATTGACCACTTTTACGGATGTTCCGGATCTTCCGGTGGACCATCCCGTGGTCTCCAGTGTCCATATTCCAGTCACAACTCCGAATTCATTCTGATAAGATGTCTAGGAGTGGTTTCGAAAAAACCGTGGAGCTCTAGGATCAGATTCATGAATTGACCACTTTTACGAATGTTCCGGATCTTCCGGTGGACCATCCCGTGGTCTCCAGTGTCCATATTCCAGTCACAACTCCGAATTCATTCTGATAAGATGTCTAGGAGTGGTTTCGAAAAAACCGTGGAGCTCTAGGATCAGATTCATGAATTGACCACTTTTACGGATGTTCCGAATCTTCCGGTGGACCATCCCGTGGTCCTCTGGGTTCATATTCAGGTCACAACTCCGAATTCATTCTGATATTTGTCTGAGCGGTTTCGAAAAAACCACGGAGCTCTAGGATTAGTTTCGTGAATTGACCACTTTTACGGATGTTCCGGGTCTTCCACAGGACCAGACTTGTGACTTTCCGGATGCTAAATGTTCCCAAAAGGTGGCAAATATTCTGTTTAATAACTGTTCAGAAGACACCAGGAAGTTATCTCTTCAAATTACCCTACAATCAGTGTTTGGTCCCAATTAGGTCAAATCCCATATGCTACGTGTATTCGTTAATGCCGGATCGACCGCACTATAGGAATCCAGGGGTAACCGTACTATAGGAATCCGGCAAGAACGAATCCGTACTATAGGAATCTTGACTGTATACAATTGAAAAACAAATCGGGTCCGGGTTATTAAAAAAATCGGATTTGTGTTCGGTATGGATGGTATGGTGAAATATTTACATATTTATTGAAAAGCTCTGTCATTGGGAGTTGATATTTTGTTTTCTTTCCATAAGGTTAGTTCAAGAGCCACATGTGAAAAGGGCATATAAGCTTTTTGTTAAATAAACCTTTGTACGCCCTTTTCTCGCCAACCATGGGTTGCCCACGCAAACTAGAAACATCATCGGGAAGGGGAAAGTTTCCCCTACCCGGTGATGTTAATGGTTTGCGTAGGTGTCATGTGGATGGCGAGAAAAGGGTATAAGAAGGTTTGTTTACAAAAAGCTTGAATGTCCTTTTCACATGTTGTTCTTTATTAAAAAATAATAATTGCTCGTGAAGTAATGAAGTGAAGTTAGCGGAATGTTTGAATAAAACTGCAAAAAAGGTTATCTTCCATTTAATTCCACTTAATTAATGTTGGTTTCCATGACAGATCGACTACAATGTGCAGTCTTCATCAGTTTAATAATTGCTGGTCTTTTCTTTTTTCCTTGGTTTATTTTCCGTTGATCTTGTTTTCCGTACTGAGTGAGTAGCAATGCTACCGACGCCAGGGAGGTAACTCCCACGCCTGGACCCTACCTATCGACCCATCAACTCATGGACGGGTCCAACAGGAAGATGTGATCAGATATTTTATACATCAGAAAATCCTGACCGACTGGGATTAAATCCAGACCCTTCCGAGGGAGAGGCAGTCACGCTTACCACTACACCATCGGCGCCACTAAATGGCGTCTTTTCGTTCCTTGTTCATGCGATCCTTGCAGGAACAAAGTTCTTCTTCTTATTATTTTGCTTTATTATAGAGACTTTCAGCCCTTAGCTGGTTCGTCTCTTTAAAGAGGAACAAAGTTGTAGCATTGTATTAGACTAGGTCGATATGTATATTAAAAAGCAAAGGCCGCGTGATGTTTGGTAAAGCGGTACAAGCACATATTTTAGAGAAAAACAACAATGATGCGTGGCGTCCAATCAAAGGAATCTCACAATATTTGAACTTGAAATGTTGCAAACGATGCGAGGTATAGCTTCAAAAAATCGGGTTTGGGTTGGATGCAGGCAAATATATTATATTAACAATACGATTCACTCTTTCGCTTAGCTGACGAACCGATTTTTTAGCGATGAAAGCGCCTCTGTGGCCAAAAAGGCTACCAATGTATTTGTTTATGTTCACGAGGGGTAAACCAAATGAAAATTTGTATAATATTTTAAATGTATGTACGCAGATAAATGATTTTTAAATTCAAATGGATATACTATTGACTCAGGGCCTAATATGATTTTGGTATTTATTCAAATACATTATTCGATTAATTCAACGAAAAATATGTTTGAATCAACAAACTGATTATAGAGAAGATAATCCGTTTGTTGATTCTAAAAACCATTTTGTTGGTTCAAAAATAAGTTTTGTTGGAATAGTAATACAATATTTTTGAATCAATAACAAAATACGAGGCCCTGGAACAAAAATCCATTTTTCTGCGTGTGTATTTCAGCATATTTTTGATTTGCTGAAAACATTGACACGTCATAAAAAATTTCAAGTATTATACTAAATGTAATTAATGAAATAAATTTCAATATTATTTTTTGATAATAAATGCTATGCTCACGCCCCTCGATTGTTTGGTTCTTGCTGACCTTTTTCAACGCTAGATGGTACGTGAAGCAATATTTTTCTGGTCGCCATTGCAATGTATGGAAAAGGCAAGAATGGATCATATTGTTAATATGATATATTTGATGCAGGTTTTCATGCGGGTTACCACGAAACCCAACCATCTATTTTGATAAATAAAATTCCCCGAGTTTTCCATGTTTTGCCAAGAAGAAAATCACAATTTCTACGTTTTTGAGAAAAATTTGTTTTAATACCGTCGAAAATATACTATTTATGGTAATGTTAAGTGTCACAAACGTCACAAACCTATCTAAAAAATATACTATTTGGGGTTAAACAATAACTTAAATGCCATAATCTGTTTTGAAAGAACAGCTTTTATAATTAAAACTATTAAAAGTTGAAGTTTAACATGTTTAAAAACTGTAAGAAATGTGTTTATTCTTAGCAGAATTAGGAAATAGTTCAATTAAATTTGATAGTTATTTTAATTCTAAACCTGAATCATAACAAATAGAAAACTTAGTTTGAATAATCATAACTTGAAGTAATGGTAGAATAAGGTGGGGCGAAATTTCTTGCAATTCCCCACTGCACATCCACTGAAAAATTATACAACCAATATATTGATAAAAATAAGAAACAAGTAATTTTTTAACTAATGTGTACTAATAATCATCTCTTATCCGCATTGCTGCTCATATCTTGTAAAAGGTGGAAATTTACCGTTACCGCTCTGATTTTCTTCGGGTCTGAGAAAAAATAGCAATAAAATTTCATTCAGTCGCTTAGTTAGATTCCACGGGTATACTATCTTGTTGATGTTGTTGCTCACTTTTACTTCAGGGATTGTGCATTTGCCCGTTACTATAATCATTTTGCTTAATAACAACGAACGTACATAAGCGTTAACACGAATAAAACAATAATTATCTTAACTTATTGTAAACATAGGATACATTACAACTATTGATGTTTTATTTACACTACCGTACCGCTGGGTGGTGCCGTGGGACTTGAAGGTAAATGCTGTGGGAGATTCTGGAAAATAAATTTAACATTGAAAAAGGTTACATTAATATAGCGGTATTATACTACAGCTGTCAAACCCCCTACATTCAGTATGAATCCAACGTGTTTTGATTTTGACGTTCTGGTACCTATGCTGGGTTGATAGCGTGTTACTTTTTAGGTGTCCAAAAAGTTCCCTATTTTCGACAAAAATTCACTAAAGTTACTTTTTTCGACATTCCGCTTGAATTGCAATGAAAAGTTGTTACAGTGCCATCTGACTTTTTGGCAAAAATGAGTTATCTCCTGAAATCGATTATTAACTACCTGTATTTGAACATGTGTCCATAAAGCGAAATGTTTTATTCTTAAAATATCGTAAAACATACCAAAACTTGGTTGTCTCAGTCATAAGATACCATGAAAGAAAAAATAAACTACGTTTTTCTCGGCTTAGTGTTTTTCCACATGAGACTGTTATGCATTTATGGGCAGTACAGAATGCTTATTTCCTAGTTGGAAGTTCATTAAACTAACGAACGAAAAAGTACGCAGAAGAAACCAAGACGATACCTACATCTGCAAAGCACAATTTTATTTGCGATTGCGCATCTTTGAGGAATCCAGTTTAAACTGCAAAATAGAATAATTAGGGTGACCAGTTAACATGAAAAACCGGAGGTATTAGGAGCATTTCCCAAAAAAATATAGCATTTTTAAAAATTGAGGAAGCATTTAGCCGGCACCGGTGGTGTAAGCGTGGTAAGCGTGACTGCTTTATCACCCCAATGGGGGTCTAGGTTCAATCCAAGTTGAGGTTGGGATAGCCGATTTCTGAGGCATAAAAATCTCTGGTCACGTCTTCCTTCGGAAGGGAAGTAAAGCCGTTGTCCCGGCCCATGTGTGTTGAATGAGTGCGATATCCTACGCAGGTGTGGAAGCTGCCTTCCTGCACATTCGATTGCGGTCAATGGATGGCAATCGATGTCCGTCGGTGATTGGCACTAAATTGCGGAACAGCGACCGACTTTAATTAAAAAAAGGAAGCATTTCACCGTTTGCATGGTACATATATTTAGTTACCGTTTTTCACGGTTGCTCCAACAAAAGCTCTTGCCCCTAATCAAAGATCTCCATTGAAACACACGCTTATAGTTGAGGCAATGAAACAAAGATACTATAATTTAATCTATCATCTGAATAAGATTGGAATTTTTTCCAGAAACTTTGCTAAGAAAATAATAACACGTTGTACGCTCGAATAAAGTGACGATATTACTTAGATCAATCAGAGAAACAGGTAAGACTAAATTAGTCTTCACAGGTAAACAACACATTAAATGCAGGGAGTATTGATTTTTTATTTGAGAATATATTTTGATTATGAACAACAATGAATTTATTAAAAACAATAGCACATAAATCTAAACAATAAATAATTAACATTGAAACAGAAAAAGAAACATACTAATTATAACGAGGAGCAAAGATCAGCAATCGACTTTTTGGTAAGTTCCTTAACCTTTTTGCGGTTGGAGAGAATATTCGCCACTATTACTCGCTTTTGATTTTCATAGTTGATACCAAAATCGTTGTACTTTTGACCCAAAGTTACTGCTCGTTCTGCTGAATCGTTGACAACCGCCAAACTACAACACACATCTTTAGCTTGTTTGTAACTCTCGCTTGTTTCCCACTCAGAAGGGTCTTGTTCAAGGAGAAACTGTGTTGGGATTTCCATCATTTCCAAAAAATCCAAAGATCGTTCGTTGATGTAATCAGAAAGATCGTCCGGTTCAACTAATTTGTGGCTATCCATAGTCCGCGATAGGTTCTGAACCATCTTACGTTTTATATCTTCGGGAAATCCATCGTCAAAAAATGCAAGGCACACGTTTTGCTCAGATATCGCATTAATTTGACTTTGTATCAATGAAAAAAATATATTTATTACTTTGACTATATGTTTTAGTATTACTTCCACGTGAAGTCAACGATTTACATAGTTGAAGATGCTAATTTCAAATAACAGACTGTAGTGGTTATTTTTATACGATAGATGGAGTAGATGAAAGCATATGCTTTCATCTACTCCATCTATCGTATAAAAATTACCACTACAGTCTGTTATTTGAAATTAGCATCTTCAAATATATTTATTATTAAAAAAGTTAATTTCTCAAAAAGTACATTTTTGAAAATTTTCGTTTTAAGCCTCATTGAAGCTCATAATGTTTGCTACTAACTGGCAAAGTTTGGTGATGGTAAACTTATGGTTTTTTTAATATTTCACGATTTTTACATTTTCATTAAAAACACATTTTTTTTAACCGACAACTTTTCCGAAGACACCATAGCAATCAAGCAAGCCGTTTTTGCAATGTATTAAAATTTTTATTTTATAAGCGCTTTTCTACACAGGCCCTATCGGAAAAGTAGTCGGGGTTCGCTATTACAATTTGTAATAGCGAATCCCGACTACTTTTTTATTTTAAAATCTCAACTTAAATCCACAAAATACATTTATCTGCTCTTTTTTACTTTTCTTTTATTCGAAAACCTTATGGACAAATGATACATAATTTATTTTCATTGTAATACATTTACTTTCTATTTTTATTTACATCACTTCTTAAATACATCGAATATTTTGGCATCATTATCATTACAGTTTGAGTATCGTTTGGCTTTAATTTTATTTTCTGATAGAGGAATGAAAGAATGAAACTTTTGAGTTCCTTGAATTATTTTTGCATTATTATATTGCTCGTTGAGGTGTGAAGCCATACATTCGTATTCCTCTGTTGTGGCAAAACTAAATGATAATTTTGTTAATTCTTCTTCTTTTCGATTATTTGCCCAATTATAAAGCTCTCTTGCATTTTTTATTGGATGTTCACGTTCTTTGGCCAAACTTGCTCTAGTAGCCATACGTTTTATTGTACCTCCAATAGCGTCACAAGGACCTTTCCCATGTGATGTTGCAAAGAAATGCCATTCGGCTTCAATTCCATACTTTGATTTAAATTTACAAAGGCTAGCAAAATTTTTCCGGTTCTTGTACTGTGACGCGGCTCCATCGGACATAAAATAAATCTTGTTGATATTTTTACTTTGGTTAATGCGTAAAAAACTTATCATTTTAGAAATAAATAAGTTAAAAGCCACTGAGTCATGCCTTAACTCTTCAGAAATTATAATAAAACTTAAATGTTTAACTTGCATATTTTCTCTAAAATATATAACAAATGGATGAATGGTAGCTTGTAGGACATTCCAGTGATGAGACTGAACTTCATCCTGTAACACAAAGCTGTAGTTTTCGGAAAAATCGCAAGTAACTAAAAATTCACCTTCTTGCAAATTATTTCGTGTAGTTTTCAAAAAATTAGATTGCTGTGTTTTTATGAAATCATGTGGTATCAAACTTGTCAATTTCAAGCAGAAAAATGAAACAAACTCGTCTGCAGGCTTTACAATAGTTTCTAAATCACATCTATCCGTGGTAACCCACTGTTCAAATGAAAGCTGATCAATGCATTTTTCCTCTAATTGTTTTAATAAAATGCGGAAGAGTCTGGACAATCTTCACAACACCGTATATAGCAATATGTTGTCTTGTTTTCACAAAGTAGGCTGTCAGTGAACATTTTTACATCATTTAAATGGTTAAGTTTTTTCAAACTGTGTAAAATTAGATTGATGTTTTCATGCGTTGTGCACACGCAAACATTGTTGGTTCCAGAGCTGGTTAAAAGTTTACATTGCTTAGGGCGGAGTTTTGCAAATGAAGAGAATCCAATTTTTACATTGCAGTGAATTTCATTGAATCGTTTATAAGCTTCTCGCAAAGTCATCATTAGTAATCTTTTTTGAATGGCTTGTCGTTTTCCTTCTTTCTGCACAGACACATAATCTTTTTGACCAGGCATTGCCCGGCTCATATCATCATCTTCAAAAAAAAAATTATGACTGCCAATTTTGTTTCATCACTTAAGGCTGTGCCATATTTTGCGGTTTTTGACGAATTACCTTCCTTTATCAACTTAGCCTCTGTTGCAATATATCTACTAGCATTAAATTGATCCATAACTTTTTGTGTTGACCATGAATAAGGCAATAACGATAAAATTAATAATTTTTCACTTCTTGCAGTGGATGTATTGGAAAACTTTTCCTTCATGTTTTCTAAAACTTCTTTGAGTTCATTCACTTCGTCAGCCTCAGGCTCGAAGTTGAAAAGATTCTTTCTAATACCTTCGTTGATTTCACGGTGCTTCTTTTCGGGGTAGTGGATGTAGTTGAGTTTTCCCACGTCTATCGGTGATACCTGGATTCCTGCAATGCCTCGGTTGAATATCTCGATGTTGACTGGTTGAGTAAATTCTTGGTACGATTGAACTGAAGTAACTGATGTCATTGATGGTACAGTTGTAAGGCTTTCACAGCTCGGTACGACAGGTACTATCACTGTAGTTGGCATCTTTGAGCTTCCGGCAACATGCTGTTCCACGTTTGAGATGAAAAGAGCTTGATTATCAACACGAAGACGACAGGACGTGCAAATGCGAAAACCAGTATTCAATCCTGATGCTTCAGAATATCCAATCGATTTTAATTTCTGGATGGTAATATTCGAAATATTCCTCAGCTCTTTCCAGCACTTGACTTCCTCGAACGGCCGAATGCACCTGATAAAACATGCTCGTTCACTCATGTTGCTTCCTGTATTAAAAAAATTAAAAATAATAATCTTTAAAAATGATTTCATTGAAATACAACTGAAGCTTATGCTTACCTTTTAACCAAATGGTGTTACACTTATTTCCTATGATAACTTTTTAAGATGTATGCGGTAAAAAGCAATCTTTGTGATCAACTGCTTGTTTTCATCATTCAAACTCATTTAAGTATCAGATCGATAGGTATAATTTCTACATTAGATACAGACAGATGTTTTTGGTGTTCACTACTACAGTGTTGAGTATTTGACTTATTACCATTAAGATCACTGATACAACTATGCAAAA